GATGGATGGATGGATGGATGGATGGATGGATGGATGGATGGATCTGTGATGAACTTATCTTTGCAGGTAAATGCTGAAGATCAGCACACAACTTTGCATCGAGTGATGAAATAAATCTGCTGTTTTTATTGTAACGTCTAACTTTAATGAGGGACTGTTAGTCTAACAGGATTCATTAAAAACTTTCCAATATCCAGGATTTGAAGTGAAGGATAAAATGTTCAGAAAGAAGTCAAACCAGAGTCTTTGCTCATTCTGCATGTTTTGTTTTTAGTGCAGTAGATTTAAAGTTCACACCAGCTGCTCATGATGGTGAAAAACCGCGCGGCCGTTCCCCTAAAACAACATATTGTGAGGTTGCAGCCAGTCCAGCTCCTAGGGGCGCAAACCGGGGCTGACCACGGACAAAGGAGCTGTGCGCTGATTGGCTGCAGCCTGTGTGCGCTCTGTTGGCCCCCAGCGCCTGCAGCTCCAGTCACCATTCACATGTTAATAAGCCCCTATAAATACTAACAACAACCAGTCAGCGCCTGCGACACGACACGCAGGGGTGGGCGCAATAAACACAGGGCGCATCGCCTGCCTCTTTTTGCCCTCCGTCTGCCTGGAACCGGTTCCGTTTGCCAGCTGCCCCCTTTAGTGACGACACAGGCGGCGAGCAGCGGCGGTGGGAGAAGCCACACAAGCGGCGTTCCGACCAACATGGCCCCAGCTGCCCGGCCCGGTACCGCCGGACTTTCCACGGAGGAGGAAGAGTCCAGCTGCGGGATTCAGAGAGCGGACAGAAAGGTGGGCTGCTGTGGCGCACCGGCCACGCTGCGTCTGCAAAGACTCTCATGATTTATCTCCTATCACAGCCAGTTTGGGCTTTAATTTACATGGAAAAGAGAGAAATGATCCATGTTTATTGTTATATTCTAGATAAGAAAACCTCTGGTGGAGAAAAAGAGGCGAGCTCGCATCAATGAGAGTCTGCAGGAGCTGCGGAGCCTGCTGGCGGATTCAGAGGTGAGTACGCGGCGCACACGCTGGATGAGGGTTTCCACGGTGGAGCTGACCCCACTCTTCCCCACAGCTCCACTCCAAGATGGAGAACGCAGAGGTTCTGGAGATGACGGTGAAGAAGGTGGAGGACGTCCTGAAGAACCGGTCTCAAGGTCAGAACCACCTTCACCTCTTAGTGGAGTCAGACCCACTAAGGGATGCTGAGTTATTGGAAGCCTGTTATCAATACATCTCATTCAGGGGGGGATTTACCA